ATTCCAGGAAAAACGGCTGTCAGTTCCGTCGTTTTCTACTTCCGAAGTAATAAGAAGAGAACGTTTTGAGAAATCGCGACCCTCATCATGACTGAATCTGGCCTGCAAGAACCCTTCCATACAGACTGCAATACCCTACCACACACACAGTGTTACCCGAACTACAGGTTACTAAAAACTTTCAGGTCAATGCGCGGCCTCCAAAAAAAATTTGGCTGCCTGTTTCTTATTTTACGCGAGCAGGGGGCCGGGTCTACTACCGCCCCTCACAACTTTTTTTTTTTTTTTTAACCCCCATTTTTTTAGGTGAGCCGCATGCAGTGCGTGCGCGTCGTGCGGGATGCGCTGTGCGGCGCACGTGCGCAGTGCAGCGCATCGCGATGCGCCGCAAGTATGATTCGGATGCATTTGCAAAAACATCGCAATCACTACGATAGGATGGTCTTAGCAAGCACCACATGTGATGGGCTTGAGACACGCCAGAGTCTAAGTCACAAGTGGTTAACGGGGATCCCCAGTTTCAGGCCCTGGGTAACAGGTCCCAAAATGAAATTAGTTTTTTTTTTTTTTTTCGTTTTTTTTTTCCGCAGGTAGTTAGTATGGTCTCCACTCTATGAATTGGTGGCAAGTTTGGTTAAAATAACCATGGCTACGCCGAACCCGGACCCGGACCCGGACCCGGACATTTCCGGACATGGAACCAGACCCGTGTCTGGTAGTTTCCGGACGTCCGGAATTCTGGACAGGTCCGGAAATATCCGGACCATTAAAAAAAAATTAAAAAAAAAAAAATCTAAAAAAAAGTATGCTATGCAGAATAACAATGCAAACTACTTTTGCCTCAGAGTCATGTCAGAATTCCTAACCAAACTTGAGTTACAAGTCAAAAACTATAAAAAAAGCTTTAAAATAGACTTCAAAAACTAATAAAATGTAATGAATTATTAATAATTAAAAAACTGGGGTTGTCTAATAAATTATTATAGAGAGAGAGGATGTCCGGACCCCCCAAAAAAGCATAAACGGGCCTGAAAAACCCCCAAAACAATTTTGGGGGCTTGGCTCCTCAATGGGCAAGGGTCCTGGACCGTTTTTTTTTCCTCGAATTTTGGCAGATCCGGACCTTCCAGACCGGACGTCTGGAGTCCGTACTGAATCCAGACCGTCTGGACGGCGGTCCGGATGTCCGGATCATAGCCATGAAAATAACCCATTTTTGGTTTTCTTATAATTTATAAATGGCATGGCAAGTCGTCTGAAAATTAGGGTCTCCGTTAACCTGCTCTCAGTCTAAGTAGTTGAACTGGTGCATCCCTTCCTATTCTTCTGGCAGACTTTCTACAAGGGGCATCTTTTTCAGTCTCCTCGGGGCATACTCGAGATAATCTAGGATATATCAGGCCGCAATTGATGTCATATTCCATAGCAAAAGTCCCAGTGTGGACTTAGATAGAAAATCAAGAGCATCTCACCTGATAATCGATGTACTTAGAAGTCGCTTTGCTTCCCTGACGTGTGCAGGTCGAATCTGGCAACCAACCACATCAGCCAATCAATCACACAGACTGCATCAGAGGCAGAAGAGGCAGGGAACAACAGGCCACTGTCTTTCCAAGTTTCCACTCCTTGTGCCCCCCGCAAAACAAGTCCGTATGGCATGCCAGTCCGATTTCTTTTCCACCGACAAGTCATAAATTTACCAAACAACTCATTCACGTTTCCTCCCATCTGGCTGAAAGGACCCCTGATCAGCATAGATTGCCCGCAATCGGGGAATTGACAGTCAACTTGCCATTTTTGTAACCCCTCCTTTCCAGACCCAACTCCTATTCTCTGTCCAGAGCTGGTTAATCACCGGATCCGAGCTGTCCACCATAATTTTCTGGGGAGCGTCAGTCCGGCTCCTTTCCAGCAGCCAGTACCGGCCATGATACTTCAATCCCTCCCGGTGTATCCTTGCTCCTTAACAGAGGATTGATTGTCAGCTTGCCTCTCTCTTCATCTGTTCCTCTCAGATCCGTCTTTCCACTCCTTGCGTGATCTCAAGAAGGCACGTAGAAGGTAAACCGATTCACAAATTGATCTCAAGGAGGCACGTAGAAGGCCACTGTCTTTCCACTCCTTGCGTGATCCCAAGGAGGCACGTAGAAGATAAAAATAAACCAGTTACTTCTCGTGTTGACTCAAAAAAAGTTGCAGCGGAGACAGTAGAAGAGGTAAACCCATTCACCCCTCCAGTCCACGAACATGTGCACCGAACCGCAGAAGTTGCCATACATCACACACCTTTTTAAACTCGAGTCTACAGACGTATTGCATTAACAAATTGATCTGCCTCGGCCGACAAGCCAAGAAGGCAGTGCAGGGGTTCACTTGCCGTTGTCGGCGAATCAGCGCCCACAATCGCCAAGATTGCGTTTTTTGTTCCCCCCCCCGCCCCCCTCTGATCTCTCGGCACTTGTGTAGATTGACGACTGGGATAATCATCTCGAAAGGTTATGCCCTCAGACGTTCACTGCCTCGGCCGACAAGCCAAGAAGGCAGTGCAGGGGTTCACTTGTCATTGTCGGCGAATCAGCGGCCACAATCGCCAAGATTGCGCTTTTTGTTCCCCCCCCTCCTCCCCCACCAACCACAAAACAAGAAGCACTGTTTTGTTCTATTTTTTTTAAAGGAGAAGCTTTTTTTTTTTTTTTTTTTTTGCTAGTGCTTTTATTAATCAACATCGACTGGGTTTCTTGAAGATTTTGGGTTGGGATGATTATGGAGTGGGAAATATGATTGACGAACTTTCCCCATCGAATGAAGGTACGGGAGAGCTTCATCGAAATGGAGTCCTTAAATGTTTCTGAATCAGCTCTTTCGTCATTTGTTTTTCCTTTTTTACTTTCGAATCTCTTACAGAAAGATCTTCTCTTTCCGCCATGAGCAAGACGGAGCATTGCTTCCCAGCATATGTCGGGTGCCATGAGGGAGAAGCATGCCACATCTTGAGAGAGAGAGAGAGAGAGAGAGAGAGAGAGAGAGAGAGAGAGAGAGAGAGAGAGAGAGAGAGAGAGAGAGAGAGAGAGAGAGAGAGAGNAGAGAGAGAGAGAGAGAGAGAGAGAGAGAGAGAGAGAGAGAGAGAGAGAGAGAGAGAGAGAGAGGGGTCAGGAGAGGAGGTTAAAGGAAGGTCCAAATTTTCACCAAAACTGTCATATTTCCCTAAATTTTTACTCTTTTCTCAGTTTTTCTTTTTGCTTTAGGGTATACCCGAATTTTTGGCCTTCCATTAACCGCTAGTGCGCGGCCGGGAGGGTCCCGTGCTGCCTTGTGCGGTGCCAGACCGATGCGCTCGACAACGGACCATATGAAGATTGGTCCCGCCTTGTTGCGGCACGTGCCTCGGCCCAAAGTGGGGGAAGAGTCTGGGGAAGGGTAGGAAAGTTGGTCAAACGATTCGTATAATAGTTAGATGGGTAAGGTGGGTGTTTGGTCCCAAGGGACACTAAAGAGGGGCAGATGTAATATAGATGTAGTATAAGCAGTCAGGGCAGTGCTTGGAGGGACGGGGAAGGTAGGGCAGGATGTAGGAGGGGAAAACGGATCTAGGGGGAACTACGGGGGGGGGAGTAAGGGGCGTCAAGGGAAAATAGGGGGGAGTAAGGGGCGTCAAGGATGGGAGACACGAAACACTCTACAAAATAAATAGAAAACAGTACCACAACACCACCGACATTTAGGAGGACATGAGATGGGGCAATGTAAGTGCTGGGGCATGCATCATCTGTGTGTTGGTTGTCCGATTGGTTATACACTATCATGGGCTACCATAGGTGTAGGGGGTGTAAAAGGTGTAAAAGGCGAGGAACGAGTGATGACCGTGCGGGAATGGGGTGAAACAGAGGTAGTTAGTGGCCAGTATGGAACCGGTGTGGGACTGGCTGGAACCAAATGCGGGCTACAGGCATAGGTGATGCAGAGACAACTAACGACATTTAATTGCATCAGAAACAGTATGTCAAGAGTCTGAGGAACTATGAGGGGTGCACCTCCCGCCTCGTCTCTCCGAAGATGCCCTGCTGCATGACTGGGTGCTGCCAGTAAGCCTCCCGGCCAGCAGGGCAACCCTCCGAAAGGCCACGGTTTGAGGGGAGGGACGCCCCAAAGCAGTCCCCTCGTTGTCAGGCGACTAGTGCCACAAGGGATGGGCTGACCCTCTGTCCCGTCTGTATCTCCTCCCTTTCTTCAGTTGTAAAAACATGCTTGACGGTGATAAGCAACCGAACAAAGGCCCCCAAAATAGAAGGGGCATATGTCTGTTGTTCGAAAAAAAAAACGAAAGAACAAAAAAGAGAAGAAAAAGCTAGGCTGTTTTTCCGGCCGCCTGGGCACCCAACTTATGCCCAGGTACACGCCTGGGCGCCTGGCCGGGCATGACCCCGGGCCAGGGTTCCGGGCAGCCTCAGCGCAAAAAAAACAAAGAAATCAAAAAATTCCGGGGAAAAAAAAATGTTGAGTAGAACAGAAATACAAACGACTTTTGGCCGAGTGGCACGTTAGAATTCCTCACAGAATCGGAGATAAGAAAAAAAAGAAAATAACAGAATCACACAAAGGCACCCCCCTTTAAAGTTCAAAGTTTAACCCCCTTTAGCCCCTTTAAAAACCAATTTATACCCCCCTCCCCCCCCCTATGACATCCAACTCGCAAAAATAGAAATGAGCCCGGATTTGGGGTCTTCTCGGAGAGCGCAGAAAACCGAAAAAAAAAAGAGCCTTTTTCCAAGTTTTTTGTTTTTGTTTTTTTGCACGTCTGGGTGCCCGGTCGGGCGTGAGAATATTCCTAGAGAAAAGGTGGAGGACCAGTAGGTCTGATTTTCAAATGGCAGTTTCAAGGGGCCCAATTTCACAATCGGGAAGCTAACATGATCTCCGCCTCCAAGCAAATCTGGCTTGCAATTGAGCCAGTGAAACAATAAATCTAAGCCGTCCAATCATAATATGCGGCCCGGCTGGTAGCCTAGACTTTTTGTTTTTGTTTTTTTGCACATCTGGGTACCCCGGGCGTCACGCCTGGGTGCCCGGTCGGGCGTGAGAATATTCCTAGGAAAAAAGGTGGAGGACCAGTAGGTCTGATTTTCAAATGTCAGTTTTAAGGGGCCCAATCTCACAATTGGGAAGCTAACATGATCTCCGCCTCCGAGCAAATCTGGCTTGCAATTGAGCCAGTGAAACAATAAATCTAAGCCGTCCGATCATAATATGATCTGAAGGTTGGGAATCGTGTGACAAACAAACTTTGTCGTGTTTTGCACGCTCTGTCTCCCTCCCCCTGAATTACCTGGAGTGGTCAGTCCAATGATGATACCTCAAGGCCGTCACCATTTTTTTTTTTGGAAAAGAGCAATGAAATAAATGAGACATCACGTGTGCCCCCCTCCCCCTGCTGGATGTAGTGGATGCATTCCGAGTGACCAGTCCAAGACACAGAGAAGATCAGACCGTCAGTACCAGCATGTGCAAAGATCATATGCACACCTGAAAAGAACAGAAAAGAGCGAGAGAGATTAGTGTGACACACGCGAACTTCATCCCCAGCTTTCAAGGTAGCCGCCTCCTTCTCATTGTGGTGGACGGGTGCAACGGCCTCTAGGCCAATACAAGGAATTTTAAAACATTTGAAGACTATTACTGTATTACAGCTACGGTGCAAAGAACATACACACATATAAAGAAAGGCAATAAAAGAAAGAGAGCTCAATTGTGTCACAATCGCCGTGTTAACTCCATACAGGGCTTTCAATGCAGGTACCTGCTCATCACAGTGGATGCGAGCAAGTGCCTCTGATAACCGGATCATTGCTTCAAGCTGTCGCACAGTTATCCTGTAGGCACCTCGGCTCCCAGGAGCAGCATCTCCCCGTCGCAGCTGGACATATGCCTCCACAAGTAATCTCTGTGCTTCCGGCGTCAACTGCACAGTGCACACATGCGATACCGCCAGTATAGCATTTCCCAAGTAAGCCCCGGCGTTCGGTACATGCAAACCGTGCCATCAGCGCACACAGAGAACTATCCCACACGACTTCACAAGATAAATGCCCTCTACTGCCTCCCTGTTCATATTACAAAAGGGGAGAGCTCTGTAGGAGGGGCAGAATGCTCACGGAGAGATCTGGGCATATCATGGAAGACCTACAGAGAAGGTGATGGATGACCTGCAGTCATTTGCGTGGAGGCAAAGAACGGGAGGAAAGCGCTTTGGAGAGCGGGAGGAGGAAGGTTTCAACAAGGTGAGGGGGGATAACAAGGGAGGATATGAGATGAGCAGGGAGGTGCTTAACAAATGATAGGCGAGGGCTTCAAGTTTGACAGAAAGGAGACCCGAAGAAGACAAGGCAGGAGGTCCAGGGATAGCATGGAAGGAGATTGCAGATGGCTAGAGAGGATTCAGAAAAGAGGTGAGCCGAGGCTAGAAGTTGTCAAGGGAGAAAATTGGACGAGGGTGGATGATTGGCCATGGCAATGGCGAGGAA